AGAATAGAATAGGTAAATTATATTAAAAATAAAAAATTAATTTAATTAATATTAAAAAAACTTAATTGACTCAGCCCAACGAATTTGAGTGGGTTAGGCAGTATGAGTGGGTTTAACGGGTTGGGTGGGTTTTGGCGGGCTAGAACGGGTTAATTAGCAAAACGGACCAATATATGTAACTGGTTCGTTTTCAAGCCCGGATCCAATTCAACCGATCGGATCGTGCCGGATCCAAAAACACTGATATAACATTTAAGGCAATACAACCTTTCAATATTTACTTACTGAAAAAGTAGAACAAATAACTGCTAAAACGATTTAATTAGTGATATTTTCTTTCTCAAATAAAGTGAAAAATCTTAAATTTAAATTGTAAATATTTAAGTATAGTAGATAAAGGAATAATAAATAATTTTTTGTTATCATGCAATTCAAATTATATATATATATATATATATGAGCAATGCTATGGGCACTCGCTTTCTGCATTCTCCGGCCAACACTGCTCATATATATATATAGAAAAAAGAAGAAAGAAATGAGGACGATGTTGTTCTTATTTTTACCCTCATTCCAAAGGGGATTGGGTAGGGCTGAACCCTTTTCAGTCTATAAACTATAATTCTGTATGGTTTTAGGCCCAACATTGTATTCCAGTTAGGCCCAATATACCAAGATCCATTCCACTCAACATCCTATAGATAAAGAAATTAGAAAAATCGTTAAAACCCCGAAAATAACTTTAATCTATAAACTAAGAACACCTTCTTCTTCTTCTTCTTTTATGGGATCAGAATTGAGAACCTTAGGGTTTTTTTTTTTTTTTTGGTATATCAATAGATAGATATGCAATAGGGGATAATATGAAGTACAAAATTTAGAACGTTATAGTATTTTTTTTTTTTTTTCACAGAAGTAATTGTCCCCTTACCATAACGTGATACCACTAGTTTACTCCACCTACAATCTTGAATTTCAGTCATCAATGGAAGAAAGTGGTTGCAGAGCAGAGTAAAGCAATGACCTAAAAAAATGGAGATTGGTTTGAGTTTGATAGAATATAATAAATCAATACACCGACAAAATTTGTCTCTGTTTTCATTTTGTGGTTGTAGATATAATGATGCAAGGTAAATGAATGAAAAAGAAAAGGTACACAAAGATGGGGTACACGATAGTCACGACACAGCATTTTTTCAAGACACCCACCTAATTCCTCCTGGAGCGTCCTTGTGGTGGGGACAAGCTAAAGACTAGCACCCTCATAAAGTCATAATCTTTCAATATTCCCCAGCCCTGGATTTTTATTAAATACCCGTCAAAATCATCAAGGTATTGTCTTCCATTTTTCTTGCCCTTGTTCATTCTTTTTCTTGTTTTGTATCATTGCCTTGATAAAAAAAAAAAATTGGAATCATTGTTTTTTTTATCATAAATTTTATTTACTATTTTATTCTTTTGATAAAAAGTTCATTGTTTTTTTTTTTTTAATCTTTTTGATATTCTAACTGTTGTCAATCAATGATGTGAATAAATATGGCCTTAACACCCCCCCCCCCCAAATAGCTCCTTAACTTATAATTTTTGAGATTATTGGCCCTCTACCTATAAATTCATTGATATGAGCCCCTCATCAACTCCCTTTAAGGGAATTCATCCTAAGATAACGGTTTTCATGCTTTGTTGTTAAATACCCATTTCATTGGTCCCTCCCAGTGACACATCAGCCCAATTTAGTCAGATTTCAAATGGGTTAAAATGATCCTTAAAGTTTCAAATTTCAAAAACAATTAATCCTTAAACTTTTAAAAAATTTTAAACCTTATTTCCTTCTTTTAATCATCCGTGTTCTCCTGTCTTCTCTTCCCTTCCATTTTTAAAAAACTTTTTAGCAATTTTTAGTTTTTAACTTAAAAGGATTAGACCTGAAAATGGAGGAAATAGGTGTGGGAATAAACTATTGCCCTTTGGTGGAAATCAATAACAGTTTCTACTAATTTAAAATCAAAATTAGAGGAATAATAACTTAAAGGGAACACTCATTGGCACCATGAATCTTAGAAATTGACATCTATTATGAATTTTGAAAATCAATATTAAAGGAATAAATTTTTACTAAAAAAGTATAAAAGGACTAAATATTTCCGGTGAGAATTAGCTAACCTTTAATATATATTCTTTTTTTTTTTTACTGAAGCCAAATTGGCACCATTAATCTTAATATTATTCAATTTGATATTTATTTGACAATTTAGGGAAAATGTTTAATTCTTGGTTGTACACACAAAGATGTGTTAAGTGTGGAAGATGTAAATCTAAGAACTCTTGGGTGCGCCTGTGCCAATGTGGTGAGAGCAAGAGTGAAAGGTAAGAGAAAGCAAGAGAACACAGGGAATAGAAGAAGGAAATAAGGTTTAAAATTTAAAAAGAAAAATTTAAGGATCAATTGCTAAAAATTTGAAAACTTTAAAGATCATTTAAACAATAACCCACTTGAAATCTAAAAAAATTGGGTTGACCTGCCATCGGTGAGACCAGTTAAACGGGTATTTAACGACATAAGCACGAAAACCGTTACCTTAGGAGCGAATTCCCTCCAAAGGTTTTGTTGAGGGTCCAATAACACTAAATTTATAGGTAGGGGGTCAATAATCTTAAAATCTATAAGTTCAGGGGGTTGTTTGGGGGGTTAAGCCAATAAATATCATCAATAAATCATTCATGTCAAAATATTATTGTCATTTTAATCCAAGAATAAGAATGGCGATTGTATCAAAAAAAAAAATAATAATAATAATGGTGATGGCAGATGAATTGAAAAATGAAATAGTATAAACTAGGAAACGAGATGTTTGAATTAGAAGGGAAAAATAGTGGATGAGTAGGGCATTAGAAGTTGGTCCAAGTTCTAATCACAGATGTCATAATTAAATTGGAGAGGGGGGGGGTGAGCTCATTTGAATTCATTGCAAAAACTTTTAAAAATCAATGACATTGAGATTACTGTTAAGGATAAACAAAGTCAAACATTACAAGATAAATAATCCAAAAGAATCCCAAACATTCAACAACAAATGAAAGAACACACTCCTCTCTTTCTCTCTTCCCCACCAAACCCTCTTTCTCACTCAAAAAAGCGTCACTTACCAATTACCATCGTTGCTTTTTAAGTCCACTGTGTTCCTTTTTTGCTTTGATCATCTTCATATACTTTTAATCTTTTCCTTTTCGGTTTTGGATAACTGTATCAATCTTTAATGGCTAATGACAATAGAAAAGTCTATTTAGAGTTCTCAAAGCTTGGAAGTGCACATAGTTTCAAGGCCTAGTTTCAGGAAAAAGACAGTTTTGGATACCTAATAATGTGTTATTTTTTTCACTGAACTTTCCCCTCATTGCTTTGCTGGTACCATTGGTGGGTCATGTTTGTTTTTTAGGCTGAAGTTATCAGTAAAGTTTGTTCCTTTAAGCTATACCCATGATTTGCTTCAGGGTGTTGTTTCAGTTTATGCTGCTTTTATTTTTCACTCTTTGATGGTGGGCTGAGAGATGAAGGATCTTGAAGATTGAGTTCATCAAACTTCTTTGGAGTACAATGGGGTTGAAATTCACTCTTCTGCTGTTGAAGATTTGCCTGACTGTCGGTGCTTTGTCCATTGACAGAACTTCAGGTAATGGTGTTTGATATGAATCTCTAAACTTGTTTTTCTACATTCAGTTCATTTGATCCATGCGTCTCTCCCATAACTTTGCCTTGCATTTTCATGCAATTTGAACTTGAACTGAAATTCAAAGATCTAGGTCACTAGAAATATTTGTTCCAGAATCAACCAGTACAGAATTCTGTGGACCATAACTTCAATTTCATGTAGGAGAAACAATGGGTTTGTTGAGTAATTAGTATTCTTGAGAATCTGCATTTCTTGATCACCTGATATCCTTCTTGAAAATCTCTATGTTTCCATTACTGAACTGAAGTTCGTGTCTGGAATTCTAGGATTTGATCTTGTGTAATGCATGCTATCTTCAGATTTCCAGATAGTCTACCTCATTTCTTGTTGATCTGTTGTTTTTGCATCTAATTCAAAGCTGAAATTTGGCGAATTTCTTTGTCTTTGTCCTAAAGTAATTAGCAGTCTGTCCTAGTGCCAAAACTATTATTTGAATGTTCCATGATTGAGTGACTTTAGTACTGATGTGTGTTCCAAAAACTAGTCCAGATTTATATTCTATTATTTACTGTAAACTAACTTATAGCATATACATTTTCCATTTCCTTCTGGTGTTTTATAATTATTTTTCTTTTGGATTTTGTTCCTAATTGATGCACTAAAATTCTCACCATCACTGACAGAAATTCAAAAAATACCACCTAATTACCCTACCAAGCCAGGCCAACCCCCATGGATGCAACCAGGTAAACCTTGAAGAATAAATTTTGATAGTTGAGACTGTATACTTCAAAGTATTTGATTTCCTACTGAAAATTTTAAAATTTTCTGTTGTAAGTATACTTTCCATGAAACTTGTTGATCCCTGTCCATTTCTTGTGGAATGACACTAGGCACAAGTTACCCTGGTTTGTCATATATGTTTTGCAAAATTTGTTTAAAAATAAATAAAGTTTGTCCCCTTCGTTGTATTTCTTTACCATCATATTAGGTTTCTGAACATGTTAAAATGCCTCATTGTTCTTGAATTAATTGTTGGTTATGTATGTTTTGACATGATTCTACAGACCCGGTATCTTCTCTGACAAGAACTCCTACCAGCTTTGGCAGGACAAAGCATGAATATCTGGCTGCTCCTCCTGTTGAGAAAGCATCCCACATTTCATCATCCATGCATCACTTACCAACTAAAGGTGAATGGATGTTGTAGAATTGGTCTTCTCACAATAATCAATAAGTAAAAGATCTTTCTCTTTTGTAGTTTACCGTCCACACCATTTCTGGAAGCCTTCAAGCATCGCAGTTGTGCCTTCTGCATCATCTTCTGGAGCCACTGCAAAGAAATGGGTGCATGGTCCTGCATCTTCACCTTCGATGTCTTTTCATAAATATCATCACCAAGCTGGGAAAAGTTTCAGAAACTCCACTCTTGAACCTTCTCATGCAATTCATCCACCCACTTACAGCCAGCAAGGTTTAAATTCTCCCACAATAGCAGTAATCACCTTAATTCTTGAAGATTAGAAGGAACAAAAACTGTTTTTTTTTATTCTAAACACTTTAACAAAATGTACAGGTCCTTCAGTTTCAGTTTCTCTCTCCCCTCACTCCATGCCAAGCCAGGTTTCACCTGCACCCTTGCTTGCACCATCACCAAAAAGACACTTCAAATGTAAAGAAAAGCTTATTTTTATCTTTTGTTTAAAACTTGATTTCCTTCCAACTTTACACTGGTTACTGATGGGTACCACATTATAATCCTTATTGTCTGTACATAAAGTTCCAGTTCTTCGACCAGCCATTTCTCCTACATATTCTTCTCTAAAGAAGATGAAGACTCCACCACCCTTTTCAGTTATGGTACTACCACCTCCACCTCCTAATGCAGGTAAGATTGATATTATGATCTTAATTTAATCTACATTTCAGATGTATCTGGTAGATTGGTTACACTCTCCATGATGATTAGAATATGATATCTGATTCCTATTTGTAGATTGTGCTTCGGTAACCTGCACAGAGCCACTAACATACACACCTCCTGGGGCACCTTGTGCTTGTGTGTGGCCAATCCAAGTAAAGCTCCACCTTGGCATTGCAATATACACATTCTTTCCATTGGTTTCGGAACTGGCTCAGGAAATTGCAGCTAGTGTGCAACTGAACCACAGCCAAGTTCGTATTATGGGGGCAAGCAGTCAGGAGCTAGAGAAAAGTACTGTCCTGATCAATCTGGTGCCATGGGAAGTGAAGTTTAATTACACTACTGCACTTTTAATCTACAAGAAATTTTGGAACAGACAGGTGTATGTAAAGACTTCTCTTTTTGGTCCCTATAAAGTGGTATATGTTCAATATCCAGGTAACATATATCATTCCCCCTTTTTGTTTTTGGGATGATTTTTTGGATCATTCTTTTTGAGTAAAGTTATTTAGGCATGTTGACTGAGACAATCTAATTGCTTTAGTAGCTGCTAAAAGAAGAAAATTCTATCTAACTTCAGCTAAGTTGATGAGAGAGTGTCTGCAAAGACTTGTTTGCTAAAAGTTTTGTACTTTCTCCCCTCTTGGCTTTATAATGGTAAAGAATACAAAGGTTGCCGCTTGAAATAATATCATGCATTCATGTTCTCACTTGTTCTTTGACTTGTGAAGGTCTTCCACCCTCTCCACCTTCAGCGGCTTCCAGCACTTCCTCCATAGATGATGGGCCCTATGCTGGTCAAGACAACAATGGGCAAGCTTTGAAACCATTAGGAGTTGCTGTACCACAGAGGAAGAGGAATGGGCTCCGAGGAAGCATGATTACTCTAATTGTTATATCATCTTTCACAGCCTTTGTTCTATGCTTGGGGATTATTTGGTTTCTCATGCTAAAATGTGGCATTTGTGTTCGAGAACCAGAACAAAAACCACATTCCTTAACATCCTTCCCAGCAAAACCATTAGGTAATGCTTTGTTGACTAAATTTTATGGAGGCATTTGAAAATCTAGGCACCACTAACAAAACTTCATGAAGCTGTAATTGAACAGGGGTGGCTGGGCCCATGTTGCAAGGGAGCATTTCCAGTTCTGCTTCAATGTCAGTTAGTTCTGATGCATTGACATATACAGGATCTGCAAAGAATTTCACTTTGAATGACATAGAGAAAGCTACCAATAGCTTTGATGCTTCAAGAGTAATAGGGGAAGGAGGTTTTGGTATTGTCTACAGGGGCATTTTAGAAGATGGAACCAAGGTAGCTGTGAAAGTTCTTAAGAGAGAGGATCAACGAGGAGGTCGAGAATTCTTAGCAGAGGTTGAGATGCTTAGCCGTCTGCATCACAGAAATTTGGTTAAACTGATTGGTATTTGCACTGAGGACCAAGCACGCTGCCTGGTCTATGAGCTTGTTCCAAATGGAAGCCTTGAATCCCACTTACATGGTAGATACTGATGCAAAAAAATAACATCCCCTTTTAGTACTTAAATTGTTTGATCCTATGATTTCTTGATTATCCAAGAAGTGCTTTCGAGTGGCTACTTACCGTGCGTTGTCAATTGTGTTCTCAGGAGTTGACAAGGAGACTGATCCCCTTGATTGGGGTGCTCGGATGAAAATTGCCCTTGGTGCAGCAAGGGGCTTAGCTTACTTGCATGAAGATTCCAGCCCCCGAGTTATTCACAGAGATTTTAAGGCCAGCAACATCTTGCTGGAGCATGATTTTACCCCTAAAGTTTCAGATTTTGGATTGGCTAGAACAGCATTGGATGAGGGAAACAAATGCATCTCCACCCATGTTATGGGGACATTCGGGTTTGTACTACATTCCAACATACTTATCCATTACTCTCTTTAATTTCATGTACAATTACCATCTATATCAATGATGCTAATGAAAACTTCTATGCCTCCTCACACACCAGTTACTTAGCTCCAGAATATGCAATGACTGGTCATCTGCTTGTGAAAAGTGATGTTTATAGCTATGGTGTGGTTCTCCTTGAGCTCTTAACAGGAAGGAAGCCTGTGGACTTGTCCCAACCACCAGGCCAGGAAAATCTGGTTGCGTGGGCACGTCCACTCCTCACAAACAAGGAGGGTCTGGAAACAGTTATTGATGCAGCTATAAAATCGAACCTCTCATTTGACAGCATTACCAAGGTAGCAGCAATTGCATCAATGTGTGTCCAGCCAGAGGTAACTCACCGCCCTTTCATGGGAGAAGTAGTTCAGGCATTGAAGCTGGTATGCAATGAATTTGAGGAAACAAAAGAGATAGCAGCATCAAGAGGTTGCAGCCAGGAAAGCTTTTCCACCAGCAAATGCAGTAAGGTTGGTGAGTCTGTGGAAGCTTCAGAAGCTTGTTATCAAATACCTGCCTATAATTTTAGTCATGAAAGCAATGTAGCTTTACCCGCATCGGCTTCTTTGAGTATTCCGGCTGAGGTTGAGGAGGAGGATTCTGGGTCTTCAAGGAGGAATAGTTCAGGGCCACAGGGAACAGGAAGAAGGAGGCAGTTCTGGCAGAGAATAAGAAGCTTATCTAGAGGTAGCAAGGGTGAGCAAGAATTTTCTGATAAATTATGTCCGGAATCCATTTAAAATTTTTGCCTAAATTCTACTCTTAAAAAAAAAAAAAAATTTCTTCCAAATGATATCATGCAGAGTGCAGAGTTGTATTTTGAGTCTATGTAGCTTGGGAAAACCTCTGAAAATTGTTTCTTGAGATCATTCACTTATCTTCCCACATATATGATGGAAGAATAAGAAAAATTCGGAGTTTAATGGATTCCACTTATTTGCTTCACAAATCATAAATAGAAGGCATCCATTAAAATTTAAGTACAAAAGTTTAATTTTCTTTTTGCAGAAAAGAAGTCTAAAAATTTAATTTTCCTTTTGCATAGTCTTTTTCTTTTCTTTTTTTGGAAGTATACAGTAAAAATTTCTTCCTCGATGAGAAAAATGAAAGCTGAAAAATTAAAAAAGAAGCATGCCAGTTGGTTGCTTAGAATAAAACTTAAGTGAAGAACAGGACAAACTATAGCTTTGAATCTTAATTCTACCATTATATGATACCAAGCGTTAAAACTCCACACATTTCACACACAAATACAGCTGATATCAAACAATGTTTTTACCCCTAATATTACCAACAACCACAAGGAAATTAAAATGCTGGCTTTCCATCCACGCAAGCCAACCTTTACATACCTTATGTGCTTGCAAAATTAATATTTCTTTCTTACTACTACAAACAAACACTGCTCTTGAAGTGCCTACTTGGTCTCTACTCATTACACATTTGCTGCTTTTCCTAATCTTTCTCTCAAAATCTTGACTCCCAAGTACCTGCAGATCAAAATCAACCAATTTTACATACAAATGATTATGTTTTCCTCTGAGAAGTCAATCATGCAGATTTTAAATGAATCTGAAAGTAAACTTAAATGTAGTAAAATATATGAAGATTATAAGCCTACCTGCCCATCATCAAGACAGTGCCTTGAGGATTAGTCCCTGGAGATTCATTGAATGTTGAACCATCAACAATGCGGAGCCTTTGGATGCCAAGAACTTTGTGGTCAGGGTCCACCACCTTGCCAACATGGCACCCTCCATGGTAGTGCCAAATTGTGATCACAGTGTCTTTGCAGAATTGCTCTAGGGACTTGGTGTCATTGGTATGCTTGGGTATGAAGTTAATATTGGCCTTAACACTAATGTTGAGCAGCTGCTCAACAGTTCGCTTGTCAAATTTTGTGTACTTTGTGAAGTGATCAGATTGTATGATCTTTGCAGCCATACGAATCCCATCAACACAGCGCTGTAGGTCATGTGGGTGGCTAAAGTAGTTGAAGGTAACAGAAGGGTTGTCATCAACATTGGTATTAACCAAGTTGAGCTGGCCTGTCGAAATGGGAGTGGCAATCTTCTCCAAAATAAAGCCTCCCTTGAATGCTTCATGTGGCAGTTCTCGCTTTCTTTTGGTGTAAGCTTGAATTGCTTCCTTTGACCTTTGCTTTGGAGGAATAGTAGAAAGCTGTCCAATCTAGTTGTTGTTGTTGTTGTTGTTTTTTATTATTTTTATTATTATTATTTTTTTAACAAAATGAAGATATGATCAGTTGAAAAAATGTATTTTGACATGTATAACTCAATCTTAAGAGAACAAGGTTTTTGGTTAATGCTTACCTCTGCAGACAGGATTCCATGGTGGCACCGAATGCTATCTTGGGACTGCCCAAATCCACTGCTAGCTTCAATATACACACCCATTTTTGTAATGCCAACAGTTTGTATGAGTGATTGCTGAATAGGACGATTAAATGGGACAAAAACAGAGTTCATTGGATTGTCAGCCATGCCTTTACCGACAAATTCATTGTCAAGTACGACAGAAATGTTCAGCTTTTCAAGCTCAACTTTTGGTCCAACGCCACTGAGCATTAGCATTTGAGGAGTTCCGATTGCCCCACTAGATAAAATCACTTCACTCCGCTCGTTACCTGAAAGAACAGCTCGATGATTCTGTCCATTTTCATCTTTGAATATGACCCCTACTGCCTTTGGTTGTTTTCCTGCATTAAACACTAGTATCTGATATGAATGACTAATTTTTGTACGTAGTGTACGTTTCAAATCAAATTGTTAGCATACATCACCTCTTGTATCAAACACAACTTTTTGAACGGTGGCATAAATCAAGACAGTAAGCTTCTTGGGGTTGGCATAAGCAAGGAGCTCTGCAGCAGTGTGGCGGCGACCAAACCTGTCAAAAATGGTGCCACCAATCTTGGTCCCGTATATATGATCATAGGTGAATCCATTGTAAGGTGACACCCCAACCTCTAAGAGACCCTCCTTGAAGGCAGCCTGCCATTCAGCCAAATTTGGCCGGTGAACTATTTGCTTCTCCACCCATGGATAGGACTCATTCACTAGCTTTGCATCCCATCCCACTCTCTCGATGAACCTGCAGCAAACCAAGGAATCTTTAACATCAGGTCACTCAATATCATGGGCATTAGTTCATATTTTAGCATTTCTTATCAGTTTTTTTCTGTGGTCAAATGTCCCTTTTGTTTGATTATAACTTTCAAATCATTACTAAAATTCCAATCCATTCTCATTTAAGTTAGTCCAGAAAATGGATCATATCAAGGTGAATTACAGAACACATGAAAAGGTAAAATACAGGAGAGCAAAAACTGAGCCATATATACACAATTTTAGGGAAGTTTCTACAGTAATGAAAACAAATGATGTCTATAGGTAACATTTTGGTTAACTCCATTAAAGATTGAAAAAATGTGGTTCCAACAAAACCAAACAGAAAATGTTTATTGTAAAAAGGAGCAAATTGTGTTCATCCTCAAATGTACGTAAAATGGAATCATTATGTCATGTTCTATAATGACTTTCCCGTAAATACAATAATTTGGTAGCCGCTTAATTAGACCTGCCAAATTGTTCTTAACTAACCCAAAAATGTTGATGAACACGAATCTCTACCTAGCCAAACCTACCCTTCAAAGGATCGAAAGCTTGAAGCTTACAGATAGGGACCTTTGGCATTAATTTTGGTGTACTACGGTATTTTCTAGTTTCACATGCATTGCAATGATCTCTAGACTCTTCAGGACTAGCTTTTGCCGCCAAGAGTATAGTTTCTGAACCAAATCCTCATTGTTTTTGGATAATGACTTCAAATAGTTTCTCAGCATCTAGAAAGAGGTTAATGAATACTGCTTCTATATAAAGAGCTTTCTTGTTTTCCTTCTTTTTCCCTGGATAGGAAAAGATAGAAGAAATACCATATTCTAAATTAATTAGTGGTCTGATTAAGACAACCAATTGCATTGTTGATGTTTTTCTTAGAACCAGCATTTAAATCACAGAAATTAATGTTGAACAGGTTTCTTTAACAAAGTGGTTCAAACTTTTGATGGTAAGAAAGAGGGCAAGAATCATTCTGAGGAATTTGTAGTTTGTTTTCAATCAAATTTTATTCTCTCCCTCCTTGTGATTAGGCCCACAACAATTGTAATCTAGACAATCACGCATAACTATAATTAACAGCTTAGTTCAGCATCAAATCCTCAACTAAGAGATCCGTTCGAGGAACACAGGGACTAATTGAAGTAACGAGCCCCCCAATTCTAAGGAATTTGTAGTTTGTATTCGGTCAAATTTTATTCTCTCCCTCCATGTGATTAGGCCCACAACAATTGTAATCTAGATAATCACACATAACTATAATTAACAGCTTAGTTCAGCATCAATTCCTCTCCTTTGTTTGACTAAGAAAATGACACACTAATGAAAACCAGGACCATTGCAAGGGCACATTAACATATCAATCACTATCAAAAACAATTTCCTTCTTCTTCTTCTTCTTCTTCTTCTTCTTCTTCTTTTTTTCATATAGATTCATAAATTTTAGTCTCACCAACGACAACTTGATGTGATCCATATCCACTACAGTGTTAAGACCTAAATTCTGGGGTCAAATTCAAAAGTTGGAGCTAATTAACTAACCCAAGCCCAAAGAAGTTGGTTTATCTTCAAATAAAAAATTTCTGCTTTTTTGCTTCTAAGAAAAACGAGAGGAGATGCTAAGAAGTGAAGACACATACTCTGGGTTGGCTCTGGTGTAGAAGCCAGCATTGATGCAAGTCCCACCACCAAGGACCCTAGCTCTGGCATTGATGACACCATCTGTAGAAACAAAGGCTTGGGAAGCAGAACTTGGTGAAGTGTCTGCCAAAGCAATGTGGAAATTGCTCAGAAATGAGACATTTGCATTGGAGAAGGGGACACCACCTCTCTCTAGAAGTAGAACACTGAAATTTTGAGAGAGTGTGGCGGCTAAGGGGCAGCCAGCGGTGCCTCCTCCCACAATTATGTAGTCATAGGCATTTTCACCACCATTTGCAGAGAATGAAGCGGGGGAAGAAAATGAGCTAGCCCTTTTGATAAATGGGTACCTGTATGGATACACATACTTGATCCCTGCACTACAAATGACTTGTTAAAATCAAGAAACTGGAAAATCAAGAAACTGGGAAATAAATTGAAGAATGAACTCTAAGAAAGAATTAGAGATCCAAAATTTGGAGTCCATGTACATGTAGCTAAAAAAGAGAAAGAATGAAGATGTAGAAAAAAGATTAAACCTTGGGAAAGAGAGAGTGTGGAGAGCCATAGATGAAAACCCAGAAAGACTTTCAGTGCCCCAAGAGAAGCCATTGAAGGCCACTCAACTTCACTCAGAGAAGAAACACAAAGGCTGCTTTTTTCTTCCAAACCCACTATGTGGCTGGCACTGGTTGGCCTTGATTTGTGTGTTAACAACTACTACATATAAAACTTGGCTCACCTATAATAACAGAAGAATTTAGAAGTAGTAGCTGCGTATGGATACAAAATAAGATTATAATGGCATCAAAAATTGAAGGGCAAAGGAACGTAGTGAAAATTTAACATATAAATCGAAGTATCTAATTTAAAATTAATTGAATTAACTCATCCATTATTTTTGACTTACCAAAGAAAAAAGAAAAGTAAAAAAACCAACAAAGAATGCTGCAGGCATCAAAGGTATTTAAGACAGCTGAAACTAGGGCTGGTAAAACATTAATGGTGACATGAATGCATGCGGTTAGAGTAGGAGGGCCGTAGGATGAACTTTTTGTGTGATTTAGTAGTTTGATCATGTCCGTCCAATTTTATACGTAGCAGCTCACGAATAAGCCTATTCACGTTAAACTGTTAAAGTTAGCCATTAACGAGGGTGGTGAAAAGCATTTCATTGAGGTCCATATGTATAGTTTTAGATGGGATTTTTTTAATAAAACAGCAAGTATATTTGAGCTTTTAACTCAATTAATCTCAGAAATATTTGTTAATGTATTTTATTTATTGTTAATAAGTAAAACTCTATCATTAAAGATGACATAATATAACTGTTAAAGTTTTTGTACTTAAATAATATTTTTGTGGGATTAAAGGAATCAAGGTTGTGGTGATTTTGGGTTTGTTGGCTTTGTGAAAATGGAGATTTAAATTTCCATGCAAAAAAAGGTAGTAAAGGTGCAAAAAAATGTATCAATTTTATAATTTTTTTTATTTAAGGATGTTAATTTTGTCAATTTTTAAAAAAAGGTGCAACTTTCAATATTTTTTATTTAAAAATGTTAACTTTAAATTTTTTCTATTTAAAAAATAATTGGATAATGATACTAATATGGTAAATGAATTTTTTAACTGAAATATTAAAAATTAACATATTTAAATTAAAAAAATTAAAAGTTGATATTTTTAAATAAAAAATATTAAAAATTGACATTTTCATTTAAAAATTGATAAAATTAACACTTTTAAATAAAAAAATTATAAATTAATATTTTTTTTGCATCTTTACTTCAAAAAAAAGACTTTAATTAAGCATATGCTTTTGAGAAAAAGAAAAAGGATATGATGGTCTTTCTTTCGTTTGTGTGGGAGAAGACACAAGACAGTAAATGAATGAGAAGAGGAGCGGAGAAGAGGCACGACAGATATATTAGAGAAATGACAAAATTTGTGATTTGAATAAATTGCTCTCTTCCCCCAACCAATTTGGGACTGGTTCATTTTGACCTCAACTTTTGATGTTGTACACTACAAACTAATTTTGCTTTTGCTAAAATTACAAGGATTAAAGTTGATGTCGTCCCAACCAAAAAATTTTCCTTCACTTATTAAAATCTTTTTTTTTTTTGTTTTTTGTTTTTTTTGGTGAATCACTTATTAAATCTTTGGTAATGTGCAAAGGACATGATGTGCAAGGACAATACAAATTCTCTTCATGATTAATTACAGATTACAGATTGAAGTTTTTTTTTTTTTT